CCAGTGAAAGTGTTGCTTCCTTAGTGTATTGGTTATTTACTAGTATTTCAAGAAATGTTTTGCTTAGCTAAATATATCCTAGATCCTATATTTTAATAATTCTAGGATTTAAGAATGAGTAACATTATTGTTAGATAAAAACATACAGTATGAAACAGGAATTATTGGTAATTTGTGATTACACACATAAAACAAATTTGATAATTTTTTAACCTTTGTCCTGTTTTTGAGTCTAAAGTACACCTCTACTTGTTATACCTCAATATTAATTAGAATATACTTAGTCATTATCAACTTACATGTGTACAAGGCTAGGTCAGAGGCTATTTCACTACCCAATAACGCATTGCGTCATTTATTGGTAGTGAAATATGATTTTTACTTCAACTATAACAAACTCATTCTTATAATGTAACGTCAACCCCCACCCCCATTATATGTATACTCTCTCAAATCTGTATGCATATAGTCAATGTTTTATTTTGAGTTGGTAAGAATGCTTATTTTGTACTGTGAAGTGCATTGGTTGTCTTTCAGGTTAAAATCCTTGCTAACAGAGGTTAAAAGGGACAGAAAAACAATAACTATGGCTGTACTTGATTATGTGAATAAAGAAAGTTTTGAATATTATTTTTACGAGAGTCAGTTGCCTCGCTATGGGTTTGAATGGAAACTTGGGTTTTTTTTAAACTTTCTTCAGACAAGATCAGATTGGAGCTACAGAGGAAGACGCAAGACCGTATCTTAATATTCAATAATGAGGAACATAACAAGTATTAAATTAAAATTGTAAACAACACTTTATTAATTTCATGCGTTCATAGGACTTTTCTGACTTTTCCTTAATCAGGAACGCTCGAATCTGAATACTAGTATTTGAAAGCCAAGGATGTATAAGAATCGAAACAGTTGAAGAGCTATATGTCCAAAAAGGACCTAAATATAATAGCCAAACCAATCAGCGGCGGTATCGACCCAGTGCTGTAATCCTATTAATATGTGTCGATAGCACATACATTGGTATGAAGTTAGGGGGCGGATATTTGAATTTTGGGATTGCAGGTAGAATTTTTCCAGACAAAACATTCATTTTTGTCTATTTCCAGGCCGGCAGATCATTTTCACACGGCTGCTTTTATTATCTCAATTTTGTACACAATTAATTTCGGCATTACTGTGGGCAGCACATTCTTTTCCATCTTTTCTTGGACAAAATTGTTTATTTTCAGTTCTTACGCGTCCACAATCTTCCTGTCCATCCCCCCGGAAATTAAAAGGCGATTCCATTTGTGTTGTGGATTGCCTATTCTTAGTATACCACATTATTAAAACACCAGGAGTAAACCATTTGCCTTTATTTACAATAATTATTGTTTTCTGATATTTATATTTCAGTGGTACGGTAATGGTTGGTGCTGCATATGCCGTGGATAGTAAATATTTTGGGGAGATAGGCACCTACGATGAAGGTATGTATATATGGGGTGGTGAAAATCTAGAAATGTTTTGGAGGGTATGCACTTATTAACGTAAATTGTATATACAGACATGAACTATTTTGAATATAGTTGATGGACAGGGTTCATTTTCCCAAACCATTTTTTCGCTGATACTTTTTTGATTAATTACACATAATGTCAGAAATAAAATAGCTTGATGGATATAACAAGACAACATGCATGACTTAGACAACTGTACATTAGTTAGTTGTGTTGCTGTCTGAGTGACATCTAGATCATATTTCCTCTCTAAAAAAGCTAAAAAAGTAGTTTTTGAACGATATAGACCTTATATTGAGGGTCGTTATATGCTCACCGAGGGAAGGGGGACCCAAGTCCTTTTGTGGTAGGGGTGAGAAGCTAAAATATCCAATACCCCACACTTTTCATATATTTTGAATAATGAAAATGTATACCATATCATATTTATGACATAAATACACCAGTAGCTATCATGATTATGATAATTCATGCAGAGATATCTGATGCATTTACGACTGAGGTTTTAATTGAATTGAATTTATGAGAAAAAAATCTACATATGATTAGTTTTAGATACCCATGATTCAATCAACAACCTTTCCATATATTTCAACTTATTTCCCGACCTCGTCATATATAATGAAGCCTGACATAGTGACCTATTCCAGCGACTCATTTCTACCACTCATTACATAGAAGTAACCCCCCCCCCCAATATATATGAAGCCTGACATACATGTAGTGACTTATTCCAGCGACTCATTCCTACCACTCATTACATAGTAGTATCCCCCCTCCATATATATGAAGCCTGACATACATGTAGTGACCTATTCCAGCGACGCATTCCTACCACTCATTACATAGTAGTATCCCCCCCTCCCCGAGCATCTTTTTGTTGTATCATGTTGATGAATTGCCATCTCATTTTCACTTTCGACACATTTCTTTTTATTCGTATCAATGTCAGATTGAAAATACAATTACTGTAATATTTATTTATTACATCTATTAAATTTAATTATCGCCTTTATCTTTTTTTTTTATAATTCTGGTTGTTAACTAAGGTCTGGATGTGTGGTGGACTTCTTATTCATATTCCCTGCTCTCACATTGAACATATACCACGTACACAGCCATACAGCTTTCCCAGTGGTAGAAAGTATGTTGAGGTTTACAATTACAAACGGGCAGTAGAAGTGTGGATGGAACCGAAACACATACGATTGGTTTATGATAGTTACCCAGAAATGGCGGTATGATACAGTTTGTTGCAGCTATAGTTAACTTATCGTGCACACATATTTTTATCATTCGTATGAAGTTGACGGTAAAATTACAGATCCACAAAATATGTACAAAATCAAATTACGACCTCTGGCAGCTTAGAATTTAAAGCAGCGACATATTTACATAGAACTACAATTTTAACAATAAATATTGCACATAATAATGTGTTCTCTAAATTAAATGCTTGGCCTTGATTTTGATATCTGTTTTAAAAGTTTTTCTCATTCAAGATTATCGCGAGATTCAGTTTGTTTATCATTTTTTTTTCAAGCACAAAATACACCAGCACATCACTGGACCGTTCATCTTTCTGACTAGAATCATACACGAGTTTATCTTAATCTTCATGCTCCTCGTCACTTGAGTTTCCGTCCCTTTGTATTGCTTTTGCTAAAGAATATGTCACATCATATGTTCCATTATCACTCAAGTCTCTGTCCCTGAACAGATAACTGTCACTTCGTGCGAATCGTAATGCAGTGTAAGGGTTGAGATACCCACACTCATCTGTTTCGATGTTTTCATCAGTTTCTGGCAGTATATAGTAATCATGATTGACAGGTCTGTCGGGAAGGTTTGGTGTATAACAGTTCCCATTTCGTAAACCTATTTCTTCTTCTTTCATTTCAGAATATACAGGTTCTGGATCGACATATTCTGTTGTTTCATCGGAGCAGGAAAATTTACCTGAAATTCAAATAAAACAAACCATTACAATCCATGATTTTTGAAGCAGAAATGAAAAACAATACGTGTTCAAACCATGAAAATCTGACAACAGAAAACATTGGATGTGAAACAAATTCTGAAATGCCATAAAACACTGGATGTGAAACAAATACCGAAATACCATTTGACTCCAGGAAAGACGTCGAATAAGTTTACTCTAGACCATTAGGCAAGAAGGTCAATATCGTGGCAGTCATACGACAACTTTATAATATGAATACAAGGAAATGTTAGGTAGATATAAATGAGACAGAAACCTAACGACATAAACAAAAACTAAATACAGGGTCAACGTCAAGTTTTCAAAACAGTCAGGTGTCTATACAGTATGACTAGCTCTTAATCAACCTGTGTCTTGAAATGTGTTAAAAGAAGACTATCGAAGTTAATTAGAAAGATCACTTCAACATGTAATTTATAGTGTCAACGTTCAGATTTGGAGCAAAATATTTACAAAAATGAATTGTAATATAAATGAGTAAGACGTTGGCACTGCCAACAGCTGCAGATTATCCCTTATCCGTAGATATATTGATAGAAAACACGAATGAAATTCATTGTCTGGCCTGTGTTTCATGGGTGCAAAATATAATGCTTGGAAATACCACCGGGGGGGGGGGGGGGGGGGGGGGAGTGTTAACTTCCTATTATTGGGTAAACGGGGATGTGCCAAAAATATGGGTCATAATTTTGCGACATTCTATATAAAAATGACCCTCCTTTTTAATGACTCCTATATTGAAATGTATTTACGTTTGATAACTGTATATTGATTTGGGGTATGATCTACATATCATATATAAATATGCTATTGAGAATCTTATATTACTAATGGTCAATTAATATATTAAATTAAATCAATTCATTTGAAACTTCACCTTTCAAATAAGTTCCAAAATGAACCCCAGAAATTTGTCTCCTGATTTGATCTTCAGTAACGTTTTGACGGCACTATAAATAAGTAACACCGTTCTCCTTCAGCACACTTCTACATAGTAGGATGGCTAATGCGCTATATACACCCGCTAAAATGTTACACCCACTTAAACATGCAGTTAATCTTATAATCCATGCTTATATATAACGATAAAATATATGTGCACCAAACGATGTCAATTCATATATAAAAAAACTGAAGGGTAACTGTATATTTATGAATAATGAGTGATGATATAGGTTTAGTGCTTAAATAAGCATGGGTCATATTTTAGATATTGTATATAAGTATAGGTCATTCTTTCTTTAATATGTATATAAATATAGGTACTGAATTTCAGTGAATGATATATTAAAATTGGTACGTTTTCTGAGGCAAAAACTGCACACCCTTACCAAAAAAATTTCTAAGTAAACCCCTCCCACCCCCCCCCCCCACCCCCCCCCCCCCCCAATCAAATTGGTATTCTATATTAACAATATTCGTTCAATTTTAGAAATCAAGGCAATTACATAATTGTGTAAAAGTTGTCATATATCTATACCTAGTGCTGATTTTGATGTTTTTCTGTTTCTGTTTTCTGTGATTTCTGAAAGAAAAAAAATGACGTTCACACAATAGTCAATATTTAAGCGTGTGATAGTAACCGAAAAGATTTTGAATTACAGTCATTAGGTTCTCTTTAGAGTGCAAAAAAGATAAACCGAAGATACCAAAGGGATATTTAAACTAATAAGTCGAAAACAAACTGACAATGCCATGGCATAACACTCAACACGGTCAACAGACAAAGACTAATATAGTCTTGGAAAGGAAACAAATGTGTATTTAATAAAATTTTAGAACCTCGAAACAAAGTCTAATCTTAATGGAACTACAAACCTGGTACGGTAAACTTTTACTGAGGGAATTGAAACTTTAAGTTTTCAATGTCTATTTACTATTTAAAACGCTTTATCTTCTGCTTTGACCAAGGTACAAACTATTCAGTCTTATAAAGCATGCTAGACATTACATGTAGCTACTTTATATAATGAACATCAATAGATCAAAATATGACTTCACACCAACAAATCTGACCTTGTTCTGCCAAAATGAATAGAATGAAAAGAATAGATATAAATTTTCGGACAACATAAATATGACTAAAAATTATATGTACATTAGGATACAATAATTAGGTTGTTTTGAATTCTATGTCTGTAGCAGTAAAACATGTATAAACACATTTTCTGATATGAGTTGGCATGAACACAGACATTCCAACGTGAAGTTTTTAGTCTGATCATCATGGATTGTTCCAACAGGTATACTAGAAATATATCAGCGGGCAATTAAAATTCATAAGTATAGGCATAGAATATGATATACTACAGTATAGTCAAGGGATCAAAGGTGCATACTTGAATAATGGTATCAAATAGAAAACTAAATACTGAACAACACGAATCTAAACACGAATTAAAATCACACAATAACTGTAATGATGTTAAAGATTAAGCATATCACAGTGGCATCCATGGTTTTGTTTACATAACGTCTTCATGTAAAAGGGAAGTCATGAGTCAATGATATATCAAACTTAACACTATCGGTGTTGTACGACGTGACTCAACACAATTACCGCAGTTAAATGTGTTAACATTAAATTTATCTTGGTGTAAAAAATGATCATTTCATCTAACCTTTTTTTTTATTGATGAGTCTTTTGTAGACAAAACGCGCGTCTGGCGTACAAAATTATAATCCTAGTATCTTTTAATGAGTGTATTTACAACCACTGAAAGTCGATGCCACTGCTGGTGAAGGTTTCCTACCCGAGGATATCATCAGCCCAGTAGTCAGCACTTCTGTGTTGACACGAGTCATCATTGATATGGTCATAATTAGAAATTAACTGTTTACAAAACTTTGACTTCTACGAAATATTAAGGATTTTCTACCCCAGGAATAGACTACCTCAGCTGTATTTGGCAAACCTTTCGGAACTTTGGGTCGTCAATGCTCTTAAACATCGTACTTTACAGGGCTTTTTAATTATTTTTTTTATTTGAGTGTCAGTCTTTTGTAGACGAAACGAGCGTCTGGCGTACAAAATTTTAATCCTTGTATCTATGATGAGTTTATTTCATATTTGTTTATTGTTTCATTTAATATATATATGTGCGTATTCAAATTTATTATTGTTGCTATCAAAATATTTACTCACCTTTCTCTTAAGTCAATACAGGTAATTAATAAAATTGTAATTATAGCTAAAGAAAGAACAACAGCTATCAATATTGTATGACCCTTTCCTAAGCCTTCTTTAACAGTACCTCCTAAAAAGGACGACACACTTGAATAAGTTCCAATACATGTTATTTTAAACATAGTAAACATGTATTTATTTATATGTATAAAGTAAATTGTAAAGGGTTCCATGAAACCAAGTGTAAATAGAAATAAGGAGATGTGGTATGAGTGCCAATGAGACAACTCTCCATCCAAGTCACAATGAGATTTGCTGATTTCAGTGTAAAGTATAATGTTGACTGACAAAAACAAAGACCATGTATCATTATGATGCAGAAAAGTATAAAAAAAAATCCAATTTTTCCCTTTAAATGCTATTTATTGATCTAAAGAAGCTTCTGTTCTAAGCTCATAATATTCTATAAAGGTTTGACAAAGTTATTCATGTTTTAAAGGCACATTGGTTACAAAGTTGACAAAAAATCAAAATATATTTTTTTGTTTCAAACATTAATAAATGCGGTATTGTGAAATGATATTTCTCTATTAGCATCCAGTTTTGTTCATTTTTTTGTCTAAATAACCTTAAATACATCGCTAATATATTTTGGCTTGCACGTCAATAATTCAACCTCATTTGAATCCCTATTCATGCGAACTTCAATTTGGCCCTTAACTGAAGATGAGTTACGTATGTGTTTTAAAAGCAAGTAAAGTAATTAGAAAGAAAAGAATCTCAACATTGAAAAGTGAAACAAGGCAGCCAGTAGGAAGAACTCTTTCGTTGACTGATATTCCCGCACAAAATCATTCTTGTATCTTACCCAAGTCAAGAGCCTGTACTTCAGTGGCTGTCATTTGTTGATGTCTGCATGCCGTATTTGTTTTTCGATTATTGATTAGCATAAAATTGTTTCACATTCTGTCTTTCCGGTGCCTTGTATAGATTACAATATGCATATGGTATATGGTTTCCTCATTATGGAAGACTGTTCAGTGACCCATAGTTGTATACATCCTCTTCTTTTGGCCTCTAATGAAAAATTGTTTCATTGGAAATCATACCGCATATCATCATTTTGTATCAATAGTTTACGTACCATGTCCTGCTGAAAATAAAGCACAACCGTGTTCATTTGAACAGTTTCCAAACTCTTCACATCTTTCACAAGGATGAACTGTAGTTATATCTGAATTAAATTAATAAACGGAAATACATATTTTTCTATCTGAAGTCGCAAATCACAAAAAAAAAAAACGTAAGGAATCTTACCATATTGTTCAATGAATTGTAGTTTCGGATGATTTGTTACATTATCCAAGCAGCACCCTATTAAACAAGGGTTTACAGAGGATAATGATGAAATAAATCTGATTAAGATACAAAGGCAGACAAAGACAATTACACGCAATATGAAGTAATTCTAAAGTGTTTTAAGTTTAGTTCTATTCCTGGTAAGCTGTTGGATATTTGACAGTCACAAACTTCCCATTCTTAGAGTTGGCATTTTCCGTGTTTTTTGTTATAAGATACACATAAAATAGGAAAGAAGGATATAACCAACAATCCATGGTGTGATATGTCCAGTTTCGTTCCATTTCTATGTAACATGGGAGGGACTTTATGTTGACAAACTTTTGATTGAAAAAAAAGACAGTTGGACAGTTATATCTTCCTACGTATGTGTAGAAGACATTAGCTCTCAAACATATAGGTCAAGGTTGTCCTATTTCACACATTTTGCAGAAGTAAGAACTGAATATTCATATATTTTCAACAAACTTCAAAATTCGCTTGAAACATGCATTTATCAGTTTGCATACTGAAGATATCTTGTTTATTTATAATTTCGTTTAAAGAAGAGTCGTATTTCCTCTTCCCTGTTGAGACAAAACTGTTTTATTACGTACTGTATTGAATTTCATTGTCAGCTTCAGTTGAAGTCACACCTATAACTGTTGATGGTGCAGAACTCTTCTCTGTTGACTGTGGTCTTAGTGTTGTACTATAGTCTGCAGAAATAATTTTATTTTAATATATTTATACATATAAGGGTGTTAAGAAGGTACAACTTCAACTGATAAAAATTAAATGATTCCTAACTATAATAAGTTTCACTACACCCATTTGAAAATTGTAATACGAGTATTTTTAAAAGAATGAAATAATGATTATTAAATTATCAGTTTACCTACTTCGATATGTTTATAAATCTGCTGCATACTTTTTTAAGTTTATTTTTTTTAATTTCGTAAAAGACAAAGGTTTACGTGATGCAATAACATTGGGTGTTACAGTCATTCTGCTAAATAAAGTTTGAAAATATAATATAAACAAGATAGAAAAAAAAAAAACTCAAGTTAGGAAATATCATAATAAAAATATGTAGACATTGAGTCAGTGAAAACTTAATAAAAAAAATCGCTACCTTTGGTTGATACTGTGGACTTATCGTCATCATCATTATCTCCTCCGTCATCATCTTCACATGGATTTTTTTGGCAATTCTTGCATTCTCCAGTTCTGCGGTCACACTTTTTGACAACTTTACAATTATATATATTCAGACAATCTAGACCGTATGTACCTTTGGGACATCCTGTAAGCATATTTTTGTAAAGATTATAACAGAGTCGTCATAAAATATTCTTTAGAAACTGAATCGTCTGCGTATCATAAAAATGTATGATATCACGTCAGTGTTTGTGTCTGGAATGAGTTCCACCAGTATAAAATATAAGGAGATGTGGTATAATACCTATGAGACAACTATCTACCAGTAACCAAACGACAAGGATGAAAACAACTACAGGGCATTGTATTGTCTACAAACCCCATACCAAATAGTAAGCTGTAAAAGGTACTTGCATGCCAAACTGTATACCACTAATGTAAGACTGCTGATTTTGGCCATGAAAACTCATTTGTAAATCGTTTTTTGCTATTTTTTTTCATCAGTTTTTTTCTATCTACTTAAAGTTCCGAGGAAACAAATAACACAAAAATATGGGTACAATTCGTCATTCAAGAACAATATCTCCTACAGGAGTCGACAGATCATTTCGCCAATGGTAAATTCGTTACTAGTATTCGTAGATCTAATGCCTGCTTATGATTTGTGACTATTTTCAGTTTCCCTCTATCTATTGTTTCCGATCAAAAACCCACAAAAAAGGTAAAAAGAAAAATCGGAAAAAAAAAAACGCTGACTGGACGTTATTGTCTGATACTTTAAAACTGTCTTTATTTCTACATAGATATAAGAAGATGTGGTATGAGTGCCAATTAGACAACTCTCCATCCAAGTCAAAATTTGTAAAAGTAAACCATTATAGGTCAAAGTACACTCTGTTAACCGTGCATATGGTCCTTCTTTTCTTACAGCAAATTCACTTAGTGGAAATATTCTTATTTATTCGAGATCAACTTTCCACCTGCCGATAATTATGTATTAAACGAAAAAAAGTTTGGTCCTTGTTAGTCACATTTGTATGGGCAAAATATAAGCCTATTGAAGAAAATAAGTGTTTTCATCTAAGTGCTTTGCACGTTGCTGATTTTTCTCGAGGAACGAAAAAAAAAAGAACAAAATATCTTAGAAAATATTTTACTTTTTAACATATATATATATATATCAATTCAAGTGAATTTTACTTCATTTTCATAATTACTTTTACAACGATAGTGTATATGATTTGTATCATTGTAGCGTATGATTTCTTCATGAAAGAAACATTAAAAGATCTTAAAAGACTACGATATAGCAAATTTCATTATCAAACTCCTCAAGCATTCAACTTTCATTTATCCTTCATACAAGTAAAGTTATGTAAATCCATAGTTTATCCCCAAAAGGCATACAAACCAAATGATATATCATACATAACGGAAAAAGTTTTTTTTTTTTTAAAATACAACTTGTACTAAATCACATGCTGTCAACGGCATCCTAGATGTCTTGACTGTTTCATTGTTTAGTGTTTCCTGTGCGAACCATGTCTTCATAACACAAAAAAATCACTTATAAGAGAACTCTTACATTATGAAAGTACATTTTACAGAGGAATTTGGCTAAAAAATTCACAATACACTAGATACACACAAAAAAAAACATTGCATAAATCACAAGTTAAAAAAGTAATGTGGAGAAAAATTAATTCCTTTCGGTAATTTTCAAAAACATACATAAATATTTAAGTACAAATGTAATAATAATAAATCAAAATTAAAGTTTACAACCAAATCACGTAACCTGGAATATTAAACAAATGTATGTGAGGTTAATCATTAGAAACTAAAATATACTCAGATTATTTCTGAAAAGGAATTGCACCAATTTCCCCTGAATTTATTTAAATTGAAAAAAGTCGTTAAATCTTTACAAAAATTAACAATATCACAGCTCTATGTGGGTAGTTGAGAGTTTACATCAACACCTACGTAATTCATATATCTGAATTGAACAACTTATAAAGATAGCTTATAACATGCAATTTTAAGGTTCGGTCAAACTTCGAGTATATTTCCTTAGATAAAATAAGAATGACATCCTAAACCACAACAAATGTGTCGGACGTAAATCGGTAAAGGAAGTCTGTCAGATACACATTTATTCATTTTGGTGAAACAAACACCGGGGAAATTGGCCCTACCTAGTGAAAGAAAAGGAATTCAAAATTGTTTTTTGACTTATTGATTTATATAAGATATATAAGGGTTAAAACAACAGGCACTTGTCTCTGAAAAAAAATTCCTATATATTAAGGTATATAGGAATTTTTTTTATAAGAGGCAAGTTCCTGTAAAATGACTTTTGTCGACACATTTTAGTATTCTATACGTAATAGGAACCTGAAGTTATACGTTTTTGTTTGCAGTAATATTTCTCCTAGTTAAGTAAATTGAAAAGCTTACTTTTACATCTCCCTTTTCTGTTTTTATAGAAGCCTGGACAGCAAATCTCCGTCGTTGTGGTATCATTAACCAATCCACCCGTATGCACTGCTGTTTCACATCTCTCTCTTTACTAAAAAAAAAATATACAAGTGTGATGGCTATTCAATAACTAGATCCTCTACGAAAATTTAATTTGTCCAATCATTAACATTCATTCTCTCTTAGAGTCTGAAAAAATGTAATACGTGTTTGAATAAAAAAGAACATTTACGTCTCTATTTATACATGATTATTTAATCATTGACTTATCTACCCAATGCAATAGTGTTCTTGAATCGAAAAGGGGAAAAAACTCCAAGGACTGACTAGTGTAGCAGTAAGACCCTCTAAAGTTCTGTTAGGCAATAAAACAAATCCTAACGGGCGTTTATTTGCTATAAATACGTTACCACGTCCGGACAGAATAGGAACATAAGATGTGATGCTTTGGGTAGGGTAAATCCTGTAAGTCAAATAATCATTACAACAGCTCTCGGAAGGTCTACTACTGGGTTGTTTGCACAGCAAATTTTTGCGCTATTTGTTTTGTGGTAGTACAATTTTCACCACTTTCATTCAAATTTTGCCGACCTTGTTCGCAGGACCTTACCATTGGATTATTGTTAATTTATTATCGCCCTGAACTTACAGAAACAGTTTGCTACTGGATGTTTAGCAAACAAAAATTAATATATCCAAACAAAAAAGACAGATTAAAAGAGTTAGTTAAGATTATATATTTAAAAAAAAATGAATTACCAACGTACTAATTTAAGTATCACATCATGATTAGGTACCAAATACTTTCAGAGTATGACATAATCGAAAGATTGACATTCTAAATATCGACACATTTGTAATATTTGGCGGAATTTGTTTTTTAATCAAAAGTTCTTTTTTAGCCAATTTGTTCAAACGAATCGAATCGAATTTCACGCAAAAGCTTCTAAATTTCGTCTGTAAGTCCTTTTCCTATGTCCTAAACTATGTTTTTTCTACAAGGTGACTATATTGACAGCATGAATGTACCATTAAACTTAAGATAAGGCAATGGCTCAGCTTTCAAGTATAACCAATTTGTTTTGTATTGCTGCTTTTAACATCAACATCTTTAAGGATAGTCAAAATAGTCAAAAAATTTACGAATACGCCAAGTCTCTCTGAACAAACACCTCTTTTTCAAAGTTACTTAACGATTCAAAGATTAAAAAATTAAAAGTTGTAATACCTAACATAAAACTTCAAATTTATTAT